ACATGTATTTTACCTTTATTTATTCACCTTATTTTATTACATAATTTTATCTCTATTTACTCATTTTTATTTTGTCATCTTTCTTTGAAAAAAAAATTACTTTTTTATTTGCATTCATCAAGATTTTATCTTTGATACAACACCAATGTATCAACATACTTAGTAAGGAACCATACTCCAAAAAACTTAGAGCTTTCCAATCAATACATAAAAAAAACAAAGAGAGAGAGAGAGAGAGAGAGAGAGAGAGGAATGACAATAGGGCTCCAAACTACTCCAAACCTTAGTAGCTTCGTTCAAAAAATCGAATCGACATCCATTCAAGCTGATAAATCTTTTTTTTTTCTTTTTTTTTCTTTTTTTTTCTTTTTATTAGTTTCTTTTTTCTTCGTTATTTTTTTTAATTAATATTTTTTCTATTTTATTTATTAAAAGCAATTAATAGATTTTTTAAGATTATTTTTAATCAAAGATTCTTTCTTATTTTTCTATCTTAATAAAAAAATTAATAAAAAAACTAATATTATTAAATTATAATCTAATATTAGTTAAATTTTTTAAAAAAAAACTTTTTATCTTAAAAATTCGTCTTAAGAATTTTATATAGTGGTCTTTGTTGCCTTAGTTCATAAATAGATTGATACTTTTCATGCAAATAATATATTGCAAACCTTGTCTAAGATGGTTTGATTTTTCTTTTTAGAGATGTCATTTCATTATAAAATATAAGCAATTTCTAATTGCTAATAATTATTAATTCTAAAGAAAATTACTTTCTTCCATGATTTATTTTAAAAATATCTATTCTATGGTCTATTTGATTTTTAGTGTGATTTTTGAACAATCTAAACTTCTCAAAGGTTTGATTTTTTCTATGTAGAAAATAGATCCATGTTTTTTATGATCAATCATGAATGAAGGTAAGCAAAAAATTTGCTCCCTCTTAGTGATTATTTTAGTAGTAGACTATGCAAATCTAAATATATGATCTTTTTTTGTAAAATCCTATAATTGACTATGCCAAAAAAATATTATTTGGATTTATTTATTATATTGACAAAATTTGCAAATATCATCTAATAAAGGAAGATTTGAAATCCCTAAAGTTTATTTACTCAGTTAGAAATGATATTATAATTCAAATATCTTAGCTTAACATGCTATAACTTCACAACATTATATTCTTCTATGGTTGGTTGTGTCCTTTTAGAAATTACTATTGATGAGCTAGATATTTTCATGTATATTTTACAAGTTGTCATTTGTTCTAAGTATGCCTTTTGATTGATTGACCTAGTTCTATACAAACTTACTGAAGCATTAATAAGATGAGTTTCTAAACTATTTAAGAAAAATAATAACTTATATACTTTAAAATTCAAAACTTGTCTTTATATTGCTATGGTTTTGTAAGATTTGCATGATGTCAAAACTACACAATGAGTGTTTGAGAACAAAACTAAATTTCTTGAATTTGTGATTTGTTCTACAAAGAATAGATTTTGATTGAGGCCAAGAATATAGCAAATATCTTTGATTTTTTTTAATTCTCCATCAAAAAAAAAATAATATCAATATTCTTTTATTTTTAAATAAAATGGTCTTAACCAAAGGCCAAATTTACCACTGATTTTATACTATTTTGATCTAGGATTATAATCAACTCAAGGATATTGACAAAATGTTGTGATACATCTAAGTCCAATATTTAATCTTGGTGTGATGATTCTCCTATTGGAAGAGTGACTAAAGTTGTTTTGATATCTTCATTTGAGACTATTTAAGATAAAAGATTCTTTCTTGAAAAAGTATCCAATGTTTGGGCTTCTATAGGTTGATTTAATGGATAATCTTATGGTCTTTGAAAGCTCAATGGTAATGATATTGGGACCATATATACATCAGCAATGAATCTTAGTTTACTGCACATGTGGCATGTGAAATGATCTTGACATCTATAGTTTGGAGATCTTATCCTACACTAGAAGTTTTCATATCCAATATATCTACAAGTATATCTTCCTCCTTAAATCAAATTCTAAATTCTTATGATCAATGTTTTTTTTATGAAATAAAACTTAAAATTAGTTTCTTTAAGATGTAATGTATTGAATAATTTATTAATAGTGGGCATTTTTTTCAGCATGAATAAGTCTTCCAAATAGTTCAAATCATTTAAAGAAATAAATTAGCATTTATAAACCGCAATTGTGTCATTTATTTAATGATCATAGGCTCATAATATTTTTGAGGATTTTGTGGATTAGATGTATGAATGTTAGTAGCCTATCTTTTCAAATGTTTGGATTTTTTGCCATTGATTTTGTAATATTATTATGTTGGAAATAGTATATGTATGATATAGGATTATTAGGGCTAGCCATGCCTTCTTTAAGTTCCTGATCTTTGAAATAAAGTCTTGTGGCCCTTCTAAAAGAGAAAGTTTCAAAATTTCCAATACTATTATCTTTTGTTTCCTCTTTATCTAGATCTCTTATCTTATGGAGGCAATTGAGGCTTGCAATGGATATGCTAATGTTGGCACTACAAATATTGCAGTGTCTTCTTTCATGCCTCTTATTATTTCAATATTGTCTCCAATGAAACTATTTTCAATTGCCTCACTATCTACAAAATCCTATGATTCAATATAGTCTTATAAGTCTTTCTTTTCAAAGATATGTATTGTGATTTTTTATAGTTTGTAGTTTATTAGAGATGCCAACATCATTTTCTTAATAATGACACAATCTAAAGTTTCTATCTCTTTAGATTGATTATTTCTACATAAATTGATTATAACTATTCTAAACAAGTTATTAGAATTAGAATTTAAGTTTTTTATTGCAGCTTTGTTAAAATATGTTTAGAATTATAGAAATTATAAAGATGTCTATGAATTTCAATAGTTTGAATTTTCAAGTGCAAATAAAGTAATGGATGTTAAGCTCAATGATGTATTTTTCAAAGAAGTAGGTATACAAATTGGAAAAAACCATCTAAATATAATTAAACACTTCTATGATATAAGAAAAAGATAAAAATGACATGAATATGACTATAGACATAATCAATTTATGTAGAAAGTTATATCTTCTGATGGAGTTGATACAAATAAGTTGGAGCAAAATAGATCAATGTCATATTATTTTTGTAGGAATATTATGTATCAACTTACAAGAGAGGTGTGTTATTTGAATGACATATAAATTACATATTGAGGTCTAAAGCCTAATAATATACTTCTTAATATTAATAATAAATATAAAATAAATAACAGTTTGAACTTAAAAAAATATAAATGTAATAGAATAGTATTGTTAGAATTTGATATTTAAAATTTTTGTATTGTTAATCATATTTTTTAATTAATTTTACAAGTTGATAAAATTAAAAAATATTATTGAATTTTAAAAATATTTATGTAAAATAAATTATTTGCATAGAGAAGGAATAAGGGCATGATGGTTAAAAAATGTACATGTGTTCTAATATTGTTATTAAAACTTAGCATAAAAAGATGTATTCCTAAATTAATTACTTTGATTGACGGCATATATAAATAAAAGTGAAGAAATATTATTAAGCATAAATCAATATTTTTAGAAAATTAATTAATTATGTAAAGTAGGAATTAAAGGATTATGTTTTGTTGGCATAAGTGGAATATGAAAGATTATGTTAGCAAAAACTATATTTAATGATATGAAACACATGTGTTATATAACACATATATTGCTACAAAAAAAATAAAATAATAATAATAATAAATTATTTGATAATATTTCAAGAATTTTTAATACGTCTGAAAGTTAATAAATTGTTTAGAACGTCAAAACTATTTTCAGTGGTTAATATCTTGTAAAATTAAAATTTTAAAATCTAATCAGAATACTCACGTCACATTCTATTGAATGTAGATTGATGTTCTTTAATATTTAGGAATATATATTTATTCAAATTCTATCTTCATTTTATTATGCTCTATAAATTCATCTACATTCTATGTGTCTTAAATTGAGACATATATATATATATATATATATATATTCTTTGTTGTGCAAATATTGCTATATAGAAATTATTTTTTTATGTCTAAAACATCTTTAATTTAGTATTCTAAATATTACAAAACTCTCTTCAACTGGAGCCAAATTACTAATTTGCATTCCAGTCATAGTTGTTCTTATTTAACAGTTTTAATTAGAAGATTTATGATGTTGGATTTTTTTTTGAGTTCTTGAAATATATTTAAGTTGCATACGTATTTTATATTTTTTATCAGATTTTTAAAAATTAAATCAATATATGTATTAAAAAAAATATATATATATATATATATATTTAATACATTGTAATGTCCGCATTCCAAATTTCTTTTCATTATTCAGTAATACAATTTTCACCCTAGAGTTTATTTAGGTTTTCTTATTTCAGAATTTCTATTTATACTATATGTCCTTCTTCTGAATACTATCGTTGTTGTTGTATAATACGAACATGTATTTCCTTTACATTCTTCCCGGCATAAAAACCCCCCAGAGTGATTAGTAGAAAACACGGCCTGATTAGTGAGAGAGTGAACGAGGTTAGTGACTGAGTCGTAAGCAAGCCCCAGTCGTCATCCAGGCTCCAAAGAGAGCCAGTGCCGCAGAGAAGGACTCGCTGCGGCAGCGCCGTCGATGGCACGCACCCGCCAGGCCAATCGCAATAACACAAACAACAATAACGAAACCGATTCCACCTCCGAAGGGAAAATGAACGGATGAATGAATGAATGGGAAGAGTAGCGGGATTGTTTGGGAACGGTGGCGATGGTGCGGATTGTCACAGGCGCACATGCCAATCCGCTGCGACGAAACCAGACAAAGAGCGACTATTCCGTTGTGGGAGGAGGGGTGTTGGAATCAGTGTCCGGCCATGTCCGTTGGAAGGGACCAGTAAGCCTACCGTTGGGCTCTCCCCCACCCCCTCCCCAGCATCACTATAATATCTCGGACCTCGCTAGTGCTGCATACAACCCGCAGTATCATCTCCCTTCTATCTCATCCCTTATCTGCTGATCTCTGCGTGCCACACTCTTTCTCTTTTGGCACTATTTTCATAAAGATTGGAGTTTTCGTTGAGGATTCCTATAATTTCTCCCCAGCTCAGCGCTTCCGATTGCCGTGTCTGTAGCTGCGTGGTGGGTCTGCTGCCGTCTGGAGCAGCTGTGATTTGTGATTACAAGCGATCGTTTTGCGCGTCACTTCCGGTTTCTCTCAGCGAAGATGATGACCATGACTGAGGTGCGTGAGCCCTCAAGTAGATTTGGTGGAGTTAGATTTTTGGTGTAATGCCTGGTCACTGTGGCTGCCTCTTCGCCCTTGCGTTTCAACTGTAGGTTGTGTGGTGACTTGTTGACTTAGATCTAGACTTGTGATTTTGAGCGCAGCTGTTCTACGGGCCAATTGAGCCGACCTGGATTGTGCACCCACATAACCCCGGATTCAAGCGCCCGCACCCCAACTATGACCCGCACTACTACGGCAACCCGTACACTATTTACACGGATGACGCTCTTACATACAGACGCAACCCATACATGCAGCGCAACGCTGTGCCTTACACCATGGTAGCTCCGCAAGAGGTTGCAGGGGCTGTCTACAGGCCTCCAGGTCCGGTGATGGCATACCCCTACCAGGCGCAGTACTTCGCTCAAGAAGGCAGCAATGGCACCATTACAGCCATGGCGCCAGTTGCCCAAGGCGCACAGGTTGTCCAGACTCCGGCTAAGAATGCTCAAAGCCCGGCCCGCCCGGGCGTCCTTCAACCACGAAACAACATCGCTACCTTTAAGGTCAGTAACTTCGTGGCGAAAAGGAAGGGAATACTCGAGTATTTCTAAATTTTCCCGAGAATTTTGTATGTGTGTGCATCGGACTGATCGGCCCGTGGATTTGGAAACAGACTGTACATTTCATGGTGCCTCTGTGCTGCGAGAAATGTGAGAATACGATCAAGGAGCAGCTCCTGGACTTGGAGGGTGAGTAACGGAAGTCCCGAACTTCGTCCTTGTATTCTTAGCTAATGATCTCTGTAATTCCCTAGGTGAATGGACTGATCCCTCTCAATTATGTTATGGTCATGCCCAACATTGCTAATCCGAGATTTCTTATAACCTTATGACATCATTTGACATCCCAATCCGCGCTCTGTTCCATACAAAAAAAATCTCTTGTAACTGCCACAGGCTTAAGACATGAATTTTTGAAATTGTAACATGGTGAATGTGTAGAACTTTTACTGACCATTGCAGGGCTGCTGGTAGACGTTGGTTTTAACTTCGGGGTTCTAACTTCAGTCTCATCGGTTTGTGATCGCAGATGTGGAAAGAGTCACATGTGACCAATGGAAGCAGAAGGTCACCGTCACAAGCTCCGTGCCCGCGGAGAAGCTGCTGAAGCGACTGCAGAAAATCAAGAAGCGTTCCACTTTCTGGCCTCAGCAAGAGTTTAACGGAGCTGTCAAGGTTATGAATACCAACCAGGCCCAACAAATGTCGTTCCAGAAGGAGGATGAACCGACCAATGATGAGAACAGCACCCCTCAGCAGTTGTGAGCCCATAGTCTGTCATTGTTTCCAGTGTAGACTGTTTGCACAATTTGAAACCTCCGAGTTGGATTGCAACGTGTTCTTAGACCGTGTAAAACATACCGATACGACTGAGTGGTTTTTTTGATCCGAGGGTTCCATAGGCGATACGTGATTTCAACCTTGAGAAATCATGCAATATGTTTGAGAGTACAGCGCAGGTGTGTCATAGCTTCTGACCTCCATCCACCATCTTCTGATGGAGGAATATTCAAAATGTAGAACATATTAGGTAGTCACATTCTTGTTCAATTTTGCAATCCGGTAATGCCCTTGATGGTTGACTTAAAAAGATCCAACTTATGTGCACCGTTCCGAACGCCTCATTCCGTTTGTACACTGATCGTTGATTTTGCAGGCCCTTAACCCGAGAACACTGTTAACTTATGCACATTTTAGAAACACTGTACGCAAGCTATTCTGCACCTTCTCCATTTCAATTTAAAAAAATCCTAAACTCTTTTCCATGTGAACAGGCAAGTGATGTAACAAAAAAACTACCTACTTACAGATCATAATCAGCCCTTTCCTGTAGAAAAATGCCATATTCCCATACTCTGTTACAAATTCACACATCATGCTAGTAAAACAAATTCACACAATTTGTCATCAAACATCGTACACATTCATAGTTCACTGTTACTACCACACTTGAAATTAAAACATATTAACCAAAATGTCGTATAAGCAAAAGCAAAATTGTAGGACAACTCGTGGTGCAGAAAAATATTGAAATACTTATTTTCAATTGTATCTTCCACATGTACAAATTAAATATTAAGAAAATTAAGTAGCTGCGAGGGAAGTATCAAAATCCTCCCAAAAATTGACCCTGTAGATTGCAAAACCTAATTAGCATAATATTGCACTTGGCAGACAGAAAAACCATACATGAATGCAACCAAAGTGATCTTCATTCATCACTAAACAAAACCATAAATTGCAGCAGACAAGTTCCCTTGGATTTGTTCAACCTTATTTTCAAACTACAAGGTCTATCCACATAGATTTCATTGCTCTGAAGTCGACTATGTTACGGTAGAAGAATGAAATTTTTAATGCCGTACATTGAAAGAGCATATCTAAGTCATGACACAGACATTGCCATCACTTGACGTGCAAGTTCGGGAGAGTTTTGTAACAACTCTCTGAAGTTGCTCTCAACTTCCTTCATTTGTCTCTCCAAGTACTCCTTCGAACCCTACAGTTCAAATAATTTCCATCATTCTATTAATCAGCAAGAAACCCGGCAACTGATGTTTCGATCAAGAGCATGCCACTCATTTACATAGGCAGGTAGTAAAAGACATGTCATAAGAAACAAATGCCAACAAGCTGTAAACAACTCACATTCATGTACATAGACAGTGTTAAGACAAGAATGTTACCACTAGTGTGGCAATCGCACTGTCACTCTCCTCAGCTTTAGTCTGCTGCTCTTTAATAAGCTCATCTTTTGGCTCCAGCACAAACCTGTGAACAGAGGTAGCAACCGGTGCTCAGTGCACTCTAGCAAACGCACTCCTACAAGGATTCGGTGATATGCAGATTTATAGCTACAGCTAGAAACACCGCACCTTTTCCCAAAAGGAAATGATTCGATCAACAGTATTTTGATGAAATTAATAAAACAAGAGAGTGTTATCGACACACGAATGGACTGAAAACTGAAGGGCAAAGGGGCCAGAGGTCTCAAAAGATTCATGTAGCGTGTCCACGCAGTGCTCAAACTTCGCTAAACCATAAGTAATCGATGCGTTCACAGGCAGGCTCAGATCCCTGAACCCTAAACTGTAGATCATTGATGGGGGGACACAATTGTCCTTCCATACACGTTTTTGGGAAACACGCGAGGTTAAGTTAGACTTACGCTTTTCCTGCGCAATTGCACGACCACATACATTGTCAGGTATTTACATTCAACTGAAAAAGGACGTGATGTTGATGTTCTTGAGGGTTATTGAGAATTCCTCAGAAATTTGATTAGACCAGTGACCTGAGTTTCAACATTTCGCAACATGTTCCGGGGCTTCTGAATACATTCTGTGTGCTAGGACAATTAAAACTAAACATGATGGGAATGAAATTACAAGGTCATTCCTGAAAACATTTTCTCCATGTGGGATGCATTCCAAGTTAAATTAAATTTTAAAATAAAAATAAAAATAAAAAGAAGAGAGTGAAGGGCACTGTTCAACAGTCCCCTAACTAAGACGCCGATCAGATCGTACCAAGAGTTCGGTACGTGTTAGTTCCTTCGGGCAGGCTCCCCAACTCTTCCAGTGTCAGAAACGCGCGCTTCTTCTCAGCCTCCTTGCTCCGAATTTGTGCTTGGACCTATCACCACATCACAAACACAAACATCTCTAAGCCCTATCTACACTAAAAATGCATACTGTGCGGCGAACGTCAATACATACCAATGCTTCCAACCCTCGAAAAAACCATCAGCGGCATACATGTTTTAGTTTCGAGGTAGTCTCCACCAGCCTTCCTTGAAGCTCCACAAAAGCCTGCCCCACAAAATCAAAATACTCCTCGTCACCTCTACCGATCACATGAACCCAAAAATTCATCGACTCACACCCTCAGCTACCTCCCGAGCAAGATCAATGCAGGTCGTGAAACCACAGAGGTTGTAGTAACGAAACTGGGAGACATGAAAGCAAAGACAGAGAATTGTGCAAAGGATGCACCTCCTTGTTGATCTCGGCGGCCATGACGAAGCTGAATGCAAAACTGAGGATCACGCCAGAGAGCTTGGAATTGAAACTAGGAATTCTTGACATGGAAACAGCAACATCAGCAAACACAAACCATGAACCCTAATTCTGCACGCCGACCGGTGGTCGCCTACCCCGGCATACAGGAAGAGAGCATGGCTTGTTTAGCCTCGCCCAAAGGAAACCCTCTTCTGAATAGAGAAATCAATGCCTGGCTTCTTGTTGTGGTTGCTACAAATATTAGAATAATAAGTCATGAAGTAGAAGGGAAATAATTACAATTCATGTTATTATATTTCTGTGTAACATGTAGGTTAACAAGACATATGATAAATCAAAATTCAAATGGTTCATGAAATCCTTTTCTAATTTTCAAATTAACTGATATTGTTTACAACTTCAAATTTTTTTTTACAAAACAAATCACAAAAACATTCATAGAAGATACATGTTATTATTATTATTTATTATCATCATCAACATTGACCAAGCTTCACAAACGCTGTTAATCATCCATCCACCCGTCCACACATCCACCGTTCATCCATCCATCACACCCCAAACCTTCATCCACACAACTCACCCACCAATCTGCATCCCACAATTCATCCACGTATTATATCATCCACAATTATTCATCCATTCATAACCAAGGTCCGGAATGAACGGGGCGGTGAACGGGGAGCCGAGTCAAGCAAGGGAAGGGGAGAGAAGGGGAAGAAGAGAAGGGGAGAGAAGGGGAAGAAGAGAAGGGGACGACGAGAAGTGAAAGGAAACATGACGGCACCAGAGAAGAGAAGGAAGGGCATTTTTATTATGATTTCTTTCATTTGAGCTTCTCACTCTCTCTCTCGCATCTGAACCCTGGGCTATGGCGTATGGCGCCTCCCACGCCTCTCTCTCGAGGTAACCCGCCTTTCTCCGCTGCCCTCCCTTGCATGCATTTAGAGGTCTCTCGTTGATTTGCGCGCAGTTTATTTGTTCAACCATCTTGGAGTTTAGGGGGCCTGGGGTAGTTTCGGGGGCGGGTTGATTCTTTAGCTGTGTGTCAGATCGGGCTGTGTTTGTGAGTGTGGAGGGGTTTCGATTCGTGTTTTAGCGCGGTAGAGATCTTTAGTGGGAGCAGAACTCTTTTTCAGCGTGTTGTGTGTGTGGATCTTGTGCGGGTGTAGTGGATGATGTGAATTAGATAGTAGTTGGGGTTGGTGGAAAAGTGGAGCCCTGACTTGCACTGCCCTGTTTTAGCATGATCCCGATCTATTTGGGCTGGATTTGGATCTCGGTGGATGCAGTGGGAGATGAGGTTGTCGTTTGAGCTGCATTGGATGATTGTTGATGCTTGCCTCATTATTGTGTCTGCAGAGCAGCAGAGCGTGTTGGAGCTTACTCAACTCGCAGGGCTTGATATTCGAGAGGATGCGTTTCTGATTGTGAGTTTCGTGCAAGGAACTTATTCATGGACTATATTTGTGGCCTTGTGACTTTTTCAGCCCTGTTTCTGGGAGTTCTAGCTGATGGGCGGGTTTCAATGAGTCGGTGCTGCGTAGTTATAATAGCTTTTCGGTAGTGGATATAGTCTTAACTCCCTCATTCACTCTGTACCATTTAAAATGGTGAATGTTACCGAACAGTGTGCATGTTTGCACAATGATTTACTTCTTGGTCAAGATTATGGCATTGTCAGCTCTTTGTAAGTAGGAAATTTGGAGTGTGACGTGGTAAATTTCTGGAGCCAATAAAGATTAGACGGGATAGTGGGGAATGTTTCTTTTTTCCAGATTTGTTTTTCGTGCAGCTCAGGAGTCATTGAATTCGACCGCACCTCTCTCATGAAACAGGTGTTACCAGAGTCAGGGTTTGATTATATTGCATCCATTTTGATTATGCATATTTTGAGCAGCGCTTGCACATGCTCTGTCATAGTTTCTCCTTACTTGTAAATTTGTCGATGAGGATTTAAAAGAATCTGGAATGGGGCTGGGTGCAGTTGTGGGAGTTAATGCAGAGCGACGTTGCACCAATGCTAGTCTTGCAGCTACTGAAGTCCCTAGCAGGTGTTGGACCTGACGCAACTCCACCAGCGGAATCACCTAGTGAAAGTGGATCATAAATTCTCATTTAGCGTACTCGTGCATAGCAGAAAGGAGGAGAGTTCCTCCTAGATCAAGAAGTTATCAAGATGTCAGGAGCAGCTTCCGCAATTTTTTTACTGGACATGAAGGGCCGGGTCCTCATATGGAGGGATTATCGGGGCGATGTCTCTGCTCCTCAGGCTGAGCGTGCATTTGCAAAGCTGATGGATGGAGAGGTACGGACTCTCTCTGTAGAATCGTAGGAAGTCGCACGTTAAATCATGTTCATCTGAGAGAGTTATTGATGATCGCACCCTTAAGAGGTCCGAAGGCCGTCTCTTGGATTGAAGCTACTGAGCTGAGGATTAATGTAGTAACTCTATAAGTCAAGGCTATTTGATCCCGTGATCCCGTTATCCAATTAAATGTTTATGAATTGAATACTTGGAGAGAGATAATGTTATTTCTCTGGGGTGCAGCTGAAGTGCAGCATTTATGACCTGGGCAGAAATGTATGGTAGAGTATGTTGATTTTAGAGCTTACTGTGTACATGAAACGTTTTAAAAAAAATCTCAACTTTAATCTATTATGTTAATTAGAAGTGCGTAAGTGTTGTTATGGGCACACTTGTCCCAACATTGAAGTGTGTTGCTTCTACAGGGTGATCCAGCCTCCCACGCTCCACTTTTATTGGATAATGGAGTTACTTACCTCTTTATTCAGCACAACAACGTCTATGTTATGACTGCTTCTAGACAGAATTGCAATGCAGCTAGTCTCGTGCTCTTCCTCCATCGTATTGTGGATGTAAGTGCTTTTGCCCGTTACCAACGACGAGTTTTTATGAAAGCTTGTGTATGTCATACGTGCTGACACTTTTTGGGCGTTGTCCAGATTCAAATTTGAGGAGACATGTAAAGTTAGGAGTCCTTTTTATTTGATATCACACATTGGCTTTAACTGGTTTGCACATGCAGGTTTTCAAGCACTACTTTGAGGAGTTGGAAGAAGAGTCTCTGCGTGACAATTTTGTCGTTGTTGTAAGTACGATGGTTATTAATATTAATATTACATATTTTTTAACTTTTAATTTTAAAATTTTATTACAACGTTGTTATGGTTTCTATTGGGCACTGGACCTTTTGTTGTCTTTAAGAGTGCTTTAATTTATGCTCTGTGCTGCTAGAAGTCCTTTTCTGGGGATTGGTAATAATCTAACAAATTATTCTTGAATCATGCAGTATGAGCTTCTTGACGAGATGATGGATTTTGGATATCCTCAATACACAGAAGCTAAAATTCTGAGCGAGTTCATCAAAACCGACGCATACAGGATGGAGGTTACTACGAGGCCTCCCATGGCAGTAACTAATGCGGTGTCCTGGAGAATGGACGGCATTAAGTACAAAAAAAACGAGGTAAGCATCTAGTTTATATTAGTATTTGTCAATTATTTGTACTTTCTGTCGTCTGCATCCGAAGTGAGCACATATTGGTTAATTGTGTTGAGGTTTGGAAACTTGTTTTTGTTATATATGTTTTTTTGACTGCTTGTCTGGAATTTAAACAGGTCTTTCTTGATGTAGTAGAAAGCGTGAACATTCTGGTGAACAGCAATGGTCAGTTAGTGCGTTCAGATGTCGTTGGTGCCTTAAAGATGCGCACGTACTTGAGGTGATATATCCTTCTCAGTCTTGACATTGTTCCTTCTTTCCGTTGGTTTAGCTTTTCCCTTGTTATGGTTAAGCTTTACTCTGTCGGTCGTCTAACCGGAATTACAGCATTGCCCTCTTTGTGCATTCCTTGTGAAGTCGTTTCAGTTGACTTCTGCGATGTGCCTTTCACATTACCTTTGTGCCATACGCAGTGGTATGCCGGAGTGCAAACTTGGTCTTAATGACCGCGTTTTGTTGGAGGCTCAAGGTCGGTCTACCAAAGGAAAGGCTATTGATCTGGATGACATCAAATTCCACCAGTATGTCACTTCCTTTCATCACAACCAAACATATTTTATTGTTAGTCATATTCTTAGTCCTCAAATTTTGTTGTCCAGAACTTTAGAGATGGAGATTCAAGCTAAATCAAGAATGTCACTCAACGATAAGGCGCCATCATTTAAACATTTTATGTTCAATACATAACTAGGGTGAAGTAGTTATTTCTAAGAACTAGAAATTGTTGAGAATTCCTACATGTTTGATTGCTACCTCAACAGTAACTGCACAAACTCGCTAACTTGAAGTATCTTGCGTAGGTGTGTCCGGCTAACCCGTTTTGAAAACGATCGGACAATATCCTTCATTCCTCCAGACGGTGCTTTTGATTTAATGACGTACCGCCTCAGTACACAGGTACTGTGATGCTCAACTTAAGAGCTAATGACACTAATTTTTTTCAAGTTGATCGTCTCAATCGTATTTCCTTTCGCTTGTAATATTCATTTATTTTAAAGTCGAACACTGTTTGTAATGCTAATTGCAGGTGAAACCTTTAATTTGGGTGGAGGCTCAAGTAGAGCGACATTCAAGAAGTCGCGTGGAGTTTATGATCAAGGCGCGCAGCCAGTTCAAGGAGCGAAGGTATATCTATAACTAGCTGGTGTAGTTTGCCCCTGTGGCTCTTGTTATTATGGTTTTCTTTGAATACTTACGATATAAACCATGCTTTGTTGCTACTTCGTCTGTAACTGTCCTAGAAGAAGTAAAGCCTTCTTTCCATTCCATGGATTTATGTGAATTGAATCTTGATGACAGTACGGCTTCCAATGTGGAGATTGAGCTTCCTGTACCGGCTGATGCGTCAACCCCTGCCGTTCGGACATCCATGGGCACAGCTGTTTATGCTCCAGAAAAGGAGGCTCTAATCTGGAAAATCAAGTCTTTTCCTGGAGGAAAGGTACCATATCTGGTTTCTGTCCTACATATTATGCTTTTGAAGAATATAGCTGCTACCAATTGCATATGCAAGTAGCGGCTGGTCCTTCGTGATCCTCCATTTGTGATGCAAATATTAGGACATTGAAAGCCATTGCCAATGTAGTGGAGCATATTGTGCAATGACTTCAATGAAGTCTTTTATCGGTAGGTTCCTGTGCAATGATACGAGCCAGTTAAAGCTTACGATGCACTGGTAAATGTTGGCATCACGTATTTCGACTCTCTATGATTAGTGTTCATTATAATTGCTCGCATTTGACAGGAGTACATGATGAGAGCGAAGTTTGGGCTGCCTAGCATTGAAGCTGAAGATGTAGTGATAGAGAAGCGACCACCTATTCGAGTCAAGTTTGAGATCCCTTATTTCACTGTTTCCGGCATCCAGGTAACTTTTTCTTTCTATTTTGTGGAAGAGGCAGGATTTTGAAATATAGTAATGATATGCTCAATGATTCGGTTTTCACTATGCAAATCCCTTCCTCGTGGATTGGTTATCATAATGCCATATTCGATATAAGTTAAGATCCTTCAGACCGGAGGCATCAATTTTGAATGTAACATTGTGGGGTCAAGTGCTTTACAGTAACACTGTAGCCACATATTCAATTCTTAACAGTCTAATTGTTACATTGTAGCAGATAAATTACATTTTCTAAATGTTTCGTGTTGTGTAGGTGCGGTATTTGAAGATCATTGAGAAGAGTGGTTATCAGGCATTGCCATGGGTGCGGTACATAACCACCGCAGGTGAATATGAGTTGCGTATTTAGATGAACAATTCAATGTCTCATGCATTCTTTCTCTGATGTCTAACGAGGCATCGGTTTCCAATCTCTGCTATAGGCTCTTTGGTTCATGGATGTGATGAGCTTTCGCTTGGAGTAGATCAGAAAAAAGCTCTGTGGATATTTGTGCCTCTAAATGAAGCTTTCTGGTGCTTTCTACTGTCTTTGGAGATCCTCAAAAAGCGTGTCAATAGAAAAGGATTCATAAAGTGCCACACCTTGCCGCTCATGCTTAATTTTCTTCGCTTGCTACCTATTTCAGTGCTTTTTCAATCCCAGGAATGAGTAAATCCTATAATAACCTTGCTTGTATTTATTTACCAACTTTCGTCACCATTACATTGCATGACCCAGTTCATGGTTTCTTGCAGTTTGGCTTGATAATTTATTCGTGGATTATGTTCTCAAAAGTAATTTAATATTGCTGCAAACTTGACAGAGTTTCATTGCATGTGTTGCCTGGAAATACAAGGTGGAACTGAGCTTGAAGTAAATGTGCCATGGATGCAGTTAGCTGTATGAAAACAGAACGTGGTGCTCATGTTGCCATAGAGATAGAATCCATGCAGTGTGGTGAGTAAAACAAGTCTGGCAATTCATCTTTGTCCTAATTCCACATGAGTTATTAGCCCTTGCTAGGGGAAATGGCTCGCATCAAATGCCCTAGGGCTTAGTTGGTGAATTACGAAGTTGAACCATTTGGTGGGACTTGGGTTGTAGAACACCTCGGAGCTTGTGCAAATTGGAGGTAGACAATATTGTGTGTTCAAAAAATACTTAAATAAGAGTATTCAAATTCGGGATCTGATTTCTCATTGGCCATGTACTGTTTGTGGACTATTTCTTTAGCTCCATTGCCTGCAATACTGATATTTCAGAATATATCTGTTCTTTTAAAAAACTCCGTCAGTCGCATAATTTTTTTTCCTATTGTCAACGTGTAGATGCTATGAAGGGCCTGTTCCTGGCATGCATTGCTGATTCATCAGTTGCACCCTTGATGATTTTGGGATTTCTCCATTAGTACACCGTCACTGGAGCATGACTATCTAGAGCACAATCATACTAATGAGCAGCGGCTCACGCAGATGATGTTCACATTGAAACAGTCAAGCCTAACATAGCACACAACCTACGTCTATTTTGAAGCCTTAAGCGGTGTAGTGGGCTGTGGTTAAACAGCTTGAGGCTTCAGGAACGCAGTCACAATCATAGTCTATGTTGCGATAAATATCGAAAAAAGGACCACAGCAATGCACAGGAATGGCTATCCATGAGAGAGCTCGGGAAGATATTTGTATTGGGAAAAAAGGTTTTTGGGTTTTCGTTCTTTTCAGTTTTATTTTAGAAATTTTGTAAGAAAGACGGCAGTAACAGTTGCCCAATGTGAGCCTCGTGAAGTCGGCAGGGAAGCCCATCCGGACAATATTGACGATCGTTCGAATGTCTGGTAACTGAGCGAAATCTCTAATCAACGACCAACAGTGAAAACACTCAGTAATATCTCATGTTTTTGAGACTCCCCATGTGGAGATTGATGAGTCAGACCTTCTGTATACTAGCTTGGTGAAGAAGAATGTATCAATTACTACGCATTGTGTGGGATTTCCTCTCAGCCTAACGATTGACAGTCGTTCGTAAGATGAATTTGAGTCTATGTGGGAACTGGGTATGTGTCAAAAATCTTCAATTGTCAAACTCAAAGAAGGTATCTATATAATTTGGTAACTGAGAAGGTGAACTGTATATACACGGCAGAACATCCAAGGCGCAGAATGTTTTTTTGAATTTTTGACTCAGTATAACTGGACCTGTTGCAGTTGTTGCTTCGATTGTTGCCATAACTCGGCAGTTTTCTTCACTCGCCTCACCTTCTTGAGCACAGTTTCTGGCTTCACGTTGCCGTAGACGATCACCTTCCTGCTCCATTGATCGCACAACACACTTTCTACACCTGCAAGTTGCAAAACTTATCAGATCTAAGGTTCTCCTGCCACAGTGAACTGGAATTCCAAACCAAAAAGTTCGACCGTAAACAGTAAAAAGTGGGGATAGTGGCTTGTATGCACTCACCATCCATGTATTCCAAGGCATTCCTCACTTTCCGTTCGCAGTTGTCGCAGCAGATCGGAACCTTGAGCTCCACACATTTCGATTGGTTACTGCCATATTGCTGCATCAACAAAATGGCATCGTTAACATGTTAGTTTGGGTTCACTGCGACAGATGCTCTACCGGTTTCTCCGCAAATCGAAACAATTAACGGATGACTAAGAGGCAAGAACTTGTGGAAATGGTAACTCACTGTTTGCTTGGCGTGGTGGTTGTGGTCCTGGAAGCTGGACTGCTGCTTGTTACCATGGCCATGGCCGCTGTGCTGGACCTTAGTAGTGCTCAGCATGTGCTGCCCCTTAGAAGCTTTCTTGGTGTAAGTGAAACCCTCGTCGTCATCCGAAGAGCTGTCCCATGTGTCTTGATACAACTTCTGGCTCGTCTTGCTTTGGTTCTGGCCTGAGTGAGTGTTTCCATAAGCCTGATTGCTGTTCGACTTCCCTTGCCCGCTAAACTTTGATTTCAACCCCGTCTTCTCCGAGCCGTAGTTTTGGCTGTCGAACTTGTTGCGCAATAGCTGCTGCTTTTCGCCCTGATGATAGTGTCTGTTGTTGGAGCTCCGCTTGGTACCATGGTTTCCATTCTCGTACTCGTCATCGTCGTCTTCTTCGTCGGAACTGTCGTTATTCTGTGAGAAACCGCGCTGCTTCGTGTTGCCTTGGTTCCCACTGGAGCGCATGGATTTGTCACCTTGACCTTGGGATTTTCCATTCCACTGCTCGTACCCGTTATACCCGTTGTTCACGATGTTGTATCCATTGGCGGACTGGTTTCTCGGCAAGTTCATCTGTTTGTTGTTCTGATTGCTGTTGCCGTTGCTGGTCTTGTTGCTCACAGGCATCTGCCGGTACTGATCCCCGCCGTGGTTGATGGTACTGCTTGTCATTTGGTTCACAGGCATCTCCATCTGCCGAGTCATGTACTGATCTCCGTCACTCTTCCGACCGTTGCTTACCGGGCCCATTGGCATTCCCATCTGCTGGCACTGCTCACCACCGCCAATGTTTCTACTGGGCATGTAGCCCATCGGCTCCTCTAGTCGTAGCTGGTCAGGGCCGTTGCGGACCATCATTCCCTGCGACTCTAGACCCCGGCCAGTGAACTTGCTCTGAGATTTGGCACCCATTGGAGTCATGGTGTGAAGCCATGTATCATCTTGTGATTGTCCTCGCAGCTGACGCATTTCGGGATACGCCCCGTAGCCGCCCGTAGGCGCTCCATTGAAATGCATTGGGCGCTTGGAATAATCCATGTACATGTCGTCTCGCACCTCCGGCCTCATCATCTGTTGTGGCCGCCTGTACATGTCCATGTACATGTCGTCTCGCACCTCCGGCCTCATCATCTGCTGTGGCCGCCTGTACATGTCCGTGTAGACATCGTCCCGCACCTCCGGCCTCTTGTAAGCCATGAGGTTGTCCTCCCGCTGGATGTATTGCTGCATTTCGGGCCTTCGAGGCATATACATCATTTGTTTTTGGTTAGAGAAGTAACCATCCTCGAATGACACTGGCGCCATTCGCTGATCCATCCAGTAGGGGACGGGCTCGTACCTTCCGTAAAAAACCTGCATGCAAATCAAAATTCAAGCGCAGCCCATGAGCAACAAGACTGTTGCGCGTTTCAAAGGACGCTTCACAAGGTTGCTAGTTTGCGAGATGTTTGTTCAATTACGATATGTTTCTACAAAAAAATGATTATGACGAAAGACCAGGAAGTCACGCTGATCTGAAATATTGTTCATGATCATGGGTTTTGAGGGATCCTGAGCGAATTGAAGAGATAATGGATGCAAATTCATGCACGCAAATTACCTCGTCCAAAGGCATCAAGCCGCTGTGATTGTTGACCCCGTAGTAGGGTCGGGGGTCGTAGAAGTACTGCCCCGCCATCGCACGCGCTAGACTTCTTATTCTCGAAAACAATTAAGAATCTGGTTGTAGGAAAACTTGAATAGCCGCACAAGTCACTGCGCTCAGCAACCTTCGAGTACAAACTTCCAGGTACTACTAAGTATTCTTAAAGAAACTTCAGCAGACGAGGAGGCTCACAACTACTCTTCTGTTCACAGAGACAATTAAAGTTGACCAGGAGTGTTTTGATAAGTTAGAACAAGTAGATCAAGATCAGTAATAAACTCAGAGATACTCGAAGCTGCGCTGAACTCAGAAATGGGAACTACTGCATCTCGAAAGAGTACGACACTTGACTCTTGCTAGACGATTGTTGTATCAAAAGTACAGCACGAAAATGCTTCAAATCATTCAGTCATGTATCCTCAATGGTTTTGCACAAGATATCACTTCGTAGTCACTCTCTCTCTCTCGATCTCCGTCTCTCACATCGACCAACAAGACCACACACACACACACACACACAGTTGCAGGGAACACTTGACGCCGAAGGTGGTGTGTTTAGAGAAGGG